TTAATTTATGTGTTTTGCATACCCAAGCAGTTCAACGATGCTCTTGTACACCATTCACCAAATGTTCATCAATGAACTTGTCCAATGGCCATGTTGTATTGACATTTCAGAACAATAGCTTTTGTTCATAGAGCTCAATATTACAGGATGAGCTGATAATATAATTACTTAAAAGTAATAAAAAAAACATGTATTGAACTTAAAATAACCTCAGCCCACACCCTTGTCTAAACAGCTACATGAATATCTGGACGAGCATTATTATGATGATATAGGAACAGCACCAACACAGGGATATCAAATTGTACCATTCAAACCTATACTATACCTGTAGCGTAGTATATGTTAAAATACTATAGGGTCATAAAAGTACTCTTGATAAATCTGAAAGTAATATTTCTATATCGTATATTGTTTGTGAGGTCTTAATAATATTGTAAATTTAAGCTTTGTAAAGCTTTTTCATAGAGAGACAGAAAAGAAATGAAAAAGATTGTCTACTTATGTTTCAAAAAGGGAAGAACAATTATTTGGCAGCAGGGGAATTCAGGCCAGAGGTGTGAGGTAGCCTGAGACAGCCTTTCATCGTTTCAGCATGGAGGACTGAAAAAAGTCAGATTTACTGATGAATTCAAGCGCCAGATATATGGCAGTGACAGAACAGTGTATGTAATGAGAGACACATTAGAGACTGACCAAGGAGAAGTATCACTCCATTTCTAATAGACATGCTACACCCACTGGCCTGCAGTCAGTTTGCATGGAGAAGGGGTTATAACTGCATTAAGATAAAGTAAGTAAGAATGCAAGCAAAGTTTAATTACACAGTGCTTTTCAAAGACATGTAGCCACAAAGTGCTGTACAACAAAACCGAGTAAAATAAAGGTTAGGGTTACACCCAAAGCACACCACTAATTTGTCTAAAAACTACTTAAAAACCAAGAAGTACTGCCTGTCCTATCACGTTCAGTGGGGTATTTTCTACATCTAATAGGTTTAACTTGAAAGATGCCTTTGTTTTCTTTCTAACCTGTATGTTAAACAGTGATGTCATGGCTTTAGTGCAGTCTGCAATATCAGACCACTCAGTCCACTCATTAGCACATTTCCAATGAAGGTATGTTTCCACCTGAATTACCTAAACGGATTCATTTTCAGTCCTCAAGTGTCTGTGCTCTTGCTCCTCTGTGCAGAATTAAGTGTATTGAGATGTCATTTACGATGCTGGACCCAAGCAACCAGCACAGGTCACAGAAGGACAGTGGACTTAAAATGAGATGTACTTGTAGTAAGTAGTACCTACGATATGTGTTCCAGAACCATGCGCCCACAGGATAATAGCCACCATATAGCTGTGATTTTATGAAATATAAACAACGCAGTCAAGGTGCTAGTCATGCTGCTAGAAAACAGCTCAAAACTTGAGGCTCAGAGAGCATGCCACTGGTGTACACAATCACCAGGAGAGAGACTCTAGCCTCACTGCAGGAGAGATAAATAGACAAGATTACTAATTACCAATTTACCTGCAGCTGTGACTGCAGCACTGTGCCGCCGCTGATGTCTCTTACCCAGACAGATACAAAAAACACACCCCACTTCCACAGCATTATCTGTAAATGAGCGAAAACCATCAGTGGCAAACAACCTATTTTGTGCCTATGCGTTAGAGAAAGGAATAGAAAGAGGCATCCAAATTTCCACAGTGTACATATGGTGAGTAGGATACTTGTTGACTGTACTATGAGTAGAGAGTGGGACTTAAATTATAATTTCGCATTGCTGTATAAAATTACTACAGATGGTCACGCTGACTTTGGAGATTCCTTCAAGTGCAGACTGAAGTGCTGTTGGGATAAATGAAGAGAATCAATACTGAGGCAAACTCTCTCAGCTACCTGTTTCATAAACCGTATCACATATCAAAATGTCCAATCTGATGTTGAACCTAAATTTGCAAAAGGACATACAAGAAAACCTTTGAGAAATTTAAGTGGTAGCTCAGTAGTACACTAGGAGACACTATAGGCTATTATGCTCAAACTGCGCCCTTGAACTGCATATTTGATTTCCTATTACAGCATTAGATCACAATATATGAACCACTCAATTTAACTTTTTATGTAGGCTCTTGCCAGTTATTGCAAACTGCTTTATAAGGCTTTAGAGCATCAACATATACAACAAAAATCAGAGAAACAATACATTCACAATAAACCACATACATATGTATACACATGTGCAAACAAGGTAGGGCGCAAAGCAGGGACGGAGCACTTTCTTTAGATGAAGGGTTCAGGTTTAAGCCTCAGTGATGACAAGTATTCATCTCACTGAAGTGTCCTTGAGCAAAGCAATGAATCTATACCAGGCTCAAGAGTGCACTTCTCAAGCTTACCCAGCAGTCTGATTTGCCTTTGCACAAGGGTAAGCAAAAAGAGAATTTCCATAAGGGGATCAATAGAGTAACACATAATAATTACACAGAGACCTTTGCCCTGCTTCTTGTTACCATAGGGACAAGCAAAAGATCTAGTCAGACAATTCTCTGTTTAAACCACTGCTCTGTAGCAAAGGGAAAGCCTGGTTGCATTTTACTCTCTACTTCTTAACTTTACCACAATCAACCTGTGGTCAAAAGGAAGAGTAATATTTTATTATTTTGGTACCGGGTACAAGCACGTAACAAAGCATGGAACACAATAAAAGTGATAGTTTAAAGCTGCTCTTTTAGCTGAACATGAAATCATGTGATGTCCGATGACGAGGACAGCACCTTTGAGAAGGTGCCTGGGTGCCACCCCATTTGTTCACAGAGAGAAGATCGCCGACCTTTCTGCCATACTTCAGGCAAGACTGGAAGCGGATCCAAAGTACAAGGCTACACATCACACACATCTGTGCACTGGACTTTATTCAGACCAAATGCCACCAACCCATATGACTTAGAGGTGGGGAAAAAAGCATTTCAAAGCTCTTCCAATGCCCCAGGCCCAGCTGCAGGCTTTCTTCTGTTTGTTCTAGACAGTGGCTGGACACTTTAAAACCTACTTGCTAGGCCGCTAGTTAAAGCATAGCAACATGAACATATTCGACATCTAGTGTAACAGCAGTATTTTAATATGCAAAAGTAACCAAATAAATAACTTATTATTAATATTAGTATTTTCATTACCTCGGCCTGTATTTTTCTGGCTCAGGTTGATGAAAAACAACAGATCCACCAGTCAAACAAGTGTTTTTTTCTTGTTTTATTTTTTCCAGGGCAGTAATGAGCCATGTTTTAGCCAGGCAGTTTCACTGTTATTCGCCAATAGACAGTAATCAGAGTCATTCACACCCACGCCATGTTGCCTGCAGGCTGCAAACTGGGGTCAGGCCTGATATACAAAAAGCGTCCTGTCAGAGTTGCCTCAGCAGTACTGAGTAGCTCAGCATTACCAACTTGCAGAAAAGCTTTTGGTTTCCTGCAGTCATCTTGCATTTGGGAATATCATTGTGTTTCACAAAAAAAGTTACCTTTCACTTCCTGTGCTCACTAGGTGATATTAAAAACACCTGCTAATCTGTGGAACCCACATTCAAAATTTCATATGACGAAAAAAAACCACCCAAATTTTATCTTAATTCAAAATCGATGACTTCCCAGTGGGCTTGGGTAAAAGGTCCCCTGAACGTTTTTGGACATATTACTATTTACAAGTGGAGCAAAATTCACTAACTCAAACAATATCTCAGGTGTACCTGACTAAAAATTTCTAGGTGGCACTGAGGAGTCATTGTGCACCTCCCATGTGTGAAATGTATCAACTGTGTAAATGTTCACTACACTTGATGGGTGTAGTAAATTTAATAATAATTTAAAAGCAATAATAATAATGCGCTGGTCTGGTATATTGCATTATTGTTTGTTGGGACTTTTCAGTCATTTAAATATTCCACATTTATATTTTGAGGGTTATATGTGAAAATGTTGTTGCATATTTGTTTGTTGTTGTTGTTTTCTTTTTCTTCTATTGGAAACATTGAGTAGCTTTAATGGTAACATATACAAGGCATATATAAAGAATGTTGAGAATGTTATTGAAGAAAAGTAATGTATTACACATTACTTGTAATTTTCCTTAAAAATAATGTAGTGCATGACTTAATTGCTCACCAGAAAAAGTAAATCTTTAAACTACTTATTACTCGTTGCCCTTTGAAATTACCTGAAATGCATGGTGTTATAATTACCAGTTAACAACATAAAGGCTACAGTCCTACATGCCAACACAAATACTTATCCTAATAAGGAGCTTTAATTTAGGTCTGAACATAAAGCTGACAACATAAAGCAAAAACAAAAACAAGCTCAAACAGACTTCAAAGTGATCGCCATGATGACTCTATTTTAGACACATGCTACCTGTTGAAGTTCAGGGTCTGCCCGCTGGGCAGCAATCAGCATTCACTCAGCTTGAACGTGACTCTGGGTTCTCAGCTAGCTTAACGTTAGCATGCTGTCTGTGCAGGTGCTTGCAAACAGCCAAATTTCTGCCAGCAGCATAAAGCGATGGTTTCAGTCCTGGATGCAATTTCCACTTTACCATCACACTCTTATATTAGTACAAATAAAAGCTGTATCCGTGTTGTGAAGAGAAAATTATTAGGAGGCAAAGAAACACAGACTCAAAGATTTTACATGTACATGGACGATGCCCCGTCACGGTCTGATCTGTTCTGCACCAATGTGTGCACAACAGATGTGACACAGAGGAATCGCGCGGGGCTGTCCGTACATCCTTTATTTATACTCAAACACTTTCACAACTGGTAGGTGTGGCATGTACAGAACTCAACAACAACTCCTTAAAAGGAGAGACCATTAGCTTATCTGTTGAAACAGGAGCTTATCTGTTGAAACAGTAAAAAGGCGTTTAATGGTCATATTCAGCAGTTTTACAACTCATAAGCTCTTCTTCCTTTAAATGAAGCTACAAATAAACATAACACAAAACTCAAAATCTTTCAACACCTGTACACCATTTTGCTTCTCCCATTCACAAACTGAATTCAGGTACAGCTGATTGTAGACAAGCCTGGTGTGTGGATAACTGAGGAACCTTTGCAATGCAAGTAACAACATTATTGTAACTTACCGAATTAGTACAGTAACACGTTACTTTATGGCGTTATGAAAAATGTAATGGGATTACAGTAACATTCTTTGTTATGCGTTACATCCAACACCGCATGCCTTCAGCCTGAACCTGTTCACTCACTATTTCTAATATAGTTTGTGGATTTTATATGAACTGTTTTACACTGTCTGGATAATATGCGATGACTGAATAAAGATAAATATTTAATATCAAATGAAAGAAAACTGACAGAAACATAAACTCTTGGTGAGTGGGCAGCGTGGTATCTGGCTGTTTAACCGTGGAGGTTAATTTAGTTCTATTAAAAAAATGACAAAAGTAAACTCTAACATTTATTTCCAGAAAAAATGATGTCTTTGTTTCTCTTGACAATAAACAGGAGACAAAGTCTGTACTTTTTACTGGAATTACACTTAAATTTATGAATAATGATCTGTCAGATCTGACCTCCCTGAGACAAGGACGCTTCCTCCTCAAGAACTCCGGGTTAACCTTTTATTTGATTGCCTCAGTGTTTTCAGCTTCTCCTGTAAATGCTGCTTTTTTTTCTGGGTCAGAAACAAGGCAGTAAAATGCTCAAAGTCAATAATTTTTAAGTGCTGATGAACAGTATTTTATTTTGTCACACCATAGAGTACACTGCAGATTGCAGCAAAAACACTCACATATATATTCTGTGGTATTTATAATTGATTGTAATGATAAATTCTAATACCTTTTTGGCATGGTTTTTAGTAAAAACAAGTAAAACAAATATGGCTTTAATGCCTCAATATACCTCAAATATTCTAAGCCACTCTAGTGACTCAAGATATCCCACGTTCTTGAGGGTAAGACCTTAAAGCAAGTGGTAGAATAGTAGCAACAAGCTGTAAATACAACACTGAGATCTCTTTAAAAGATTGGTGTAGCAACCAAGCTGCAGGCAATAAACAAACAAAAACAATGAGCTGAAGTAGGTTAGAAATAAAGGCTTCTCAGTGAGGGGAGTCGAGCTAAATTCAACACACCTAGGTCGGGGCTAATGACTCCCGGTTTGCTCTGTTTGTCTGTGTGCTTGTGTGTGTGAGTGTTTTGTGATGGTTGTAGTTTTGTCTGCATTTCCAATTCATATCACACCCTTCTTGACAGTGAAAAAGAGTGCACAACAACTATAATTGTTATAATTGATACAGCACCGGCCTATCAGAATTCCCTCCCATGTATCTCGCTCTTGAAGATGCAGACCAGTGGCACCTGCCTCAGGCGTTAGCAGTTACTGATGCAAGTTATGGTGTTACTTCAGTGAATAAAGTGAGTTTATAATGGGTCACTCCATTACATCACCTGGGGCCATGTTGAAAATACCACGAAAATGACAGGAGGAGAAAACGAGAGAAAAAGAGTGACACTTATTGTTATAGCCTTACTGTCCTCATGGCCTAAGGCTGCAAGTCACAGTTCTTCATGAGGACAATGACATGGTAAAAAGTGATGCCTGCATGCCTTTACATTTATCAAATTATCTTTCTGCGTAAAGAATACATTCCTTTAGGGTAGTGTGGTGTTGAATCTTCTGGGCTTATCTCTGTTTAAGAACCGGAGGCATTTGTACATAACAACTAAGGTTTCATCTTTAGTCGACTATCAGGTCACACACTCAAAATAGCAAATGTAAGAGCAGAAGTATGTGAAGAAAGAAAAAGTTTAGGTGCATTCACAAGTACCGCTGTCTGCAGTACTTCCTGCCATATGGCATACTAACACTAGTTTGTGTCGACTATTTGCACTCAATGGCCCCTGTCTTGGCTGCAAAGTTAAAGGGGCAGACTTTGTCAAGCACTAACGTCGTGGCATAATTTGGTATTACATGTAGAAAATAAATCTTTGGTCCAAGGCAAATGTTCAAGAACTGCAAATAATGTGGTAAACACAGCCAAGTGTTATTATAATCATTCAAAATAAGAACATAATTTACCATGTTTGAGTTCAGGCAGTACCGCCCTATCAAACAGCATGCGTTACACTTTTAAACACATAATACACATAATGTTTTATATGGAGCTACTATAACAAAAGTATCTGAAATAGGACAGTTTGTACTGATCAGTCTTTCTTTCTTTCTTTCTTTTATCCTCTCTTCTCATCTCACTACCTTAATTCATTGATTCATTACAAATGCAGGCTCTTTTCTCACGATGACCCATAACATCTCTAATTACGATCTTCTCCCACAGGGCTAACTGGCTGCCAGGGGTTGGAAGAGTTCACTGAACCTTCAAAGTGCACAGCTGTTATCTTTGACTAGTGGCCAAAAACAAAATTATAGCTTTGGTAAGAGGTGGGTATAAATTTAATCTATTCAAAGCTGCGTTGTGTTTATTTTTTACAATTTCTTATAAATCTGTTTGTCTTTACCTACCTTAAACATATTGTTTGACAATTTTTCTGGTACCCTTTTCCTTGGAATTCAGGAAAATAACAAAAGAAAAGAAAGTACTGAAAAAGAAATGCATTGTCTTCTCTGACAAAGATCACAAGCTGAACCCCCAAAAATATTCAGTCTCACAGAACCTTTGCGGTTTTAGTCAGTAGTATTTATTGAACTTCACCTTCTGCATCCATGCAGTGCATGAAATGGTTAGACTAAGGCAGAGTCCCGGTGCAGTACTAGGCTTGGCAGAATATGACAGGATGTTCAGGCTGAGCTGATTCCTTATGACTATTTCCACTTTAACAGGAACTGAGAAGATTCTTCCTGCTACCTTAGTGTTGCGTCAATTTCACATGCAAATATTGAAATAGTTGTTTCACACGTATACAATTCCCCTGAAAGTGTTTCCACAGAGTCAGAAGTGAGGGCTGCAGATCTATGGTGGTCTTGGCACATCAGAATTCAGTTTTATTCATCAGAGCTTCCTGCAGAGATGCAACGCAACACATTCACACTTATTGTTTTTCCTTCCTCTGTTTTTTTCTATTTATATGAGCTATTAATCAACAGTTTATTCGTTTTTCTTTTGTTTGTTTATTTGTTTGTTTGCTTCAATCAAGAAACTGGCAAACTTGCAACAGCAAAATGATTAAAAATTGTTTTTTTATGGACACATAAAAAAATATCTTTACCATTCCATACCATTTAGCACCATTTCTAGAATTACTGTTCAAGCTGAGTGAATGCTGGCGATAAGCGAGTTTTGCACACTCTCATCATCCAAAAGACGACATCCAAACACAAAAACTCACAGCCAGTCCTTGTTTAGTGGTGTCAAACTGGCCTAAGTTTCTTTGATTTTTGATTCTCCCTCACTATTTTAACTTAATCGTGTTAGGCACATTAACTGCATGATGTGCTGTCACTAAAGATTTTCCTGCTGTTAAGAAGACATTGTCATCAAAAGTTCATCAGAGTTAGGCAGTGCACAAATCTTCTTGCGTTTGCTCCTGCAGCCAACAGCGCGCTGACACATTTTCAGTAAGCCGAAGTGGCTTTAGCAAGGCAGCTTCTCATTGTTTATTTGAGGGCATGCCAGACTAGTGATTATGCCGGCCTCATGCAACCTCATGCAAATTTGTAAAGTGGTGATGCAGATTCATAAGGGGGAGAAAGTACTTGTTAGCCAACAGGGCAGTTCAGACAGTTCAGGTCTTTTCCGTGGGTAGAGTAATTCCCCTTTGGTGTGGACTCTGGGTTTTGTAAGTTTCAGGTCAGCTGAACACATAGCCTGTCCGCAAAGAAAACAAGTCCACTGGAGCTCGTAGTACAAATCAATTTGAGACCTTTTTTGAGGAAGCGTGTTTTCTTTTTTTTTCTGCACTGCTAAACCAGATTTTAGCGTTTTTTCGACCTTCCAAATCCCACTTAAACCACGGGTTAACATGTCGGTTCATCAGTATGGCTAATGTAAATTGCTGAGTAAGCAAAGCAGGATACCCTTAAGATAAAGCTTCTGCTTTCCAATAGAACATTTATAATTGGCCTCAAACAAAGAAAATTCACCTTTTTAAGGGTAAAATCCATAACCCATTTATATTATTGGTACTATGTATATAAATGAAGGTGTGCTGTATTATCTGGCATGTAGGTCTCCATGGATCATGCTTGTTTGTCCAGCACATCCCACAGATGCCTGGTTGGATTGAGATCTGGGGAATATGGAGGCCAAGTCAACACCTCAAATTCACTGCTTTTCTCCTCAAATTATTCCTGAACCATTTTTGCTTTCTGGTAGGTCGCCTGCTGACAGAGGTAGGTGGTACATGTCAACGTAACATAAATGGCGGGGAATGAGATTTCCTAGCAGAGCTTTGCCCAAAGCGTCACACTGCTTCTGCCAGGTTGCTTTCTTCCCATAGTGCAGAGCTTCCCAAAGTGCAGAGCCATTGCGGGGGGGCGCAGTATGAAAAGGGGAAAAAAACGCTTGGACACTGCTAGCACGGGGCGCCCACACAAACGCAAAGCAGGAGATGAAGCATCGCTGAATAGGTTTCCAAACCAACTTCATTCTAAGCCAAAGACTAGAAAATATGGTGAAGCATATCTTCCCTTTGGCTTCACCTGCACAAGTGCCGAGGTAGGTCTCCCCTGCAGAATTGGTTTCCCCTTCGTCGGGAGCAGCGCCGGGCTCTTCAAATCACGGATAAACAGTATCCCACATTCTTGATTTTTAGTTCACAAACACTTCTTGCAATGACTAACTACTCCTGACATTTTGGAGATGTTAGCTCTGTATACAGTAAAGTCCACTGTGTATTCTGACACCTTTCTATCAGAACCAGCATTAACTTCCTCAGCAATTTAAACTACAGTTGTCATGTGTTGGATCTGGCCAGTCTGCACTCCCCATGTGTATTAGCGAGCCTTGGCTGCTCATGTCACCCTGTCACTGCTTTACCACTCTTCCTTGCTTGGATCACTTTTTATAGATACTGACCACTGCAGACCAAGAACACCCCCAAAATACTGCAATTTTGCAGATGCTCTCACCCAGGAATCTAGCCACCACAATGTGGCTCTTGTTAAACTCGCTCAAACTCTTATGCTTGATCATTTTGCACATCACAATAACTTTAAGGCAAAAACTTTTCACTTGCTCCCCAATATATCCCATCAACTCGCAGGTGCCATGATTAAGAGATAATCAGTGTTATTCACTTCACCTGTCACTGGTCATAATGTTATGCCTAATTAATAAGGTAAAACAGGTGATAAGGCCTTTACATACCAGACATGTAAAATCCCTGCGAATATTTAATGCATTAAAAATATTTTTTGGACTCACCTATTCTTAATGCAGCCCTTCATACAGACCATGTAATTTCACTGGATAAATTTGCGGCATTTATTTTTTTTAGACCAAGTTTAATTTTTCAGATCTGAATAAACAGATCTGACCAATCAGATCACTGGATTTGGCATCAATGCACTCAAAGCTCAAAATGCGCATCTCCACTGAATATACAATGATACACATATAGTTAAATAATACTATTTACCTCAGACACACAGCTAGATGCCGCTCCGGGTCAGCCAGGTCTTGGAAATTACTTCTCTGCTTCCTCAGATGTGGTCCAAACTCTGCCAACAAGAGCTCAAACTGCTCCACTGGCATCCTGAACGTGCTGAGTGTTTAATAGCCATTATCAGATAAACACTTTCAGATTTTAAAACTAGCTTTACCAAGGGGACATAAAAAGATGTATTAAATGCTATCCTTATATGCCTTAAACCTCTTTCATTTTTTTCTAAACTACACACACAACAGTTTTGACCTCTTCATGAAGCTCACATCATCACCTAACCTTTACGAGATTCCACTTTCTTTCTGTATTTATTGTTAGGTTTGATGCTGACTGAGCAGCCCCCATTTCTGTCAAACATTTCATGCAACACAGTTGCAAGTTCAACAACAAAAGACTACTAGATAAAGAACTTTTTTTCTATGTGATTCGTACAAACTGGGTCTAAATTTGGTGCATCCTTTGGAACAGTTCTAGGTACGCTTGAATAGGGGGTGACATTTAAACAAAGCACCCATGGGAACCCAGTGCAGAGCCACAAACGTTATGGGAGAAAGGATCAGGCTTGTAGTTTATTACTCCCACCAAGAGCGTGACCTGAGTATGTGGCATCTACACGTACAGATAGAGGGATGTGCCTTCTGGTGTGTATAATTAATTCAGAGTGAGAGGATTATTCATGATGGATAACAGTTTGTTCAGTAACCTCCTCTCCACCACAGCTGCATGTGTGTCCATTTTGCAGCCAATCACAGAGCCAGCTTTCCTGATGAGTCTATTCAGTTGGTGTGACCTGCTGCCTCAGTAGACCACAGCAAAGTACACTGCACTTACTGCAACTGAGTGATAGAAAATCCCCACTGCTTTCCTGCACACACTGAAGGATCTCAGCTTCCTTGGGAAATAGAGTCAGTCGGTTCCCTTTTTGTACACAGCCTCTGCATTGGTCTTCCAGTTCAGCCTTTTTGAACACCCAGGTACGTCTGCCCCTCCACCACATCAACATCCTGTCCCAGGATAGACAAGGGCAGTGTAGCTGTGCTATTCCTTCTGAAGTCGATCACCATCTCCCTGGTCTTATTCACATTCCACTAGTGCTCTGTGCTCCTCCTGCCCATCACTGATACAGCCAACCTCTGCAGAAGCATCAGAGTATTTCTGTAGGTGGCATGACCCAGAGGTGCACAAGGAGTGCATCACATTGTATTTTACTATCATTTTATAGTAATGGTAAATAAAACTGGTTTTGTTTAGTCACACAAAAAAAAGATCATTTTATATGGAACTGAAAGAAAACAAATACTTGAATTTGAGCTGCCGTTAAAGCAGATACGAGGCTGTTCCAGTTATTCTAACGTGAATGCAGAATGAGCTATGCCCACAAAGGAGGTACAAAAGATGAAAGTGACTGTGACTTGAATAGTCTTATTTTTAATTAGCACTGGTACAACTATGTGCCCAGTACAACTAACCCCGTCTTTGACAAATTACATAAATGCTAAACATCGCTACCAAAGCTTGGAAATATTTGTCTATATTGTCAACTATAGACGGTGACACACAGGTATTTCAGTAGTATTGCCACATTTGTCTGTAATGCTCTTGGGGATGGCTTTAAAATATGCACTAGACTGAACAGTAGTCTTAAAATACATTATAAGCCCGATGAAGCTCTTTGGAGGAAGTTTGAAAGACCAGAAAAAGACGAATTTACATCTCCTTCAAAAGTGTTCAGGGATTGATCATTTAGTGGTTGAAGTGAGACGCGGTAGAGACAAATCTTCAATGAGTCATGTTGAAGTGAATATATTTTAATGCAGG